AGGCAATGCCTAAGTTATAAAACTTTCTTTTCAAAAAACTCTCTCAAACTTAGATTATAAAATCACTCTCTCTCAAGATACTAAATACTTTAAAGTTAATGGATAAATCTGAAATCCAATCAGATATTTCAGATAGCATGGCTAAGCAAGAGGCAAAGGTATATTGTTCAAAAAATATGTGGAACTAATTTCATATATTCCTGAATATCATATATATGATTGAATAAATTTATGTTAGTTATTATGTATTAGAATTATTTGAATCATGATTTCTAGTTTATTAGCACACTGGAAACAGGGAGAAAACTTCTATACTATGCCATCCTAATGTTGAAACCGGTAGGCGAGGAAAGCCGTTTAGGGGAGTAAACAAAGTTGAGGCGCTGATAAGAAGGAAGTATCCGCTAAAGTACGATGCTAGTAATGACAGAAAAACATGATAAAGCTAATCTAGTTCATAATGATCTAATATGAATTTAATCAATTATGAATATAATAGGATTAAAAGTTAATGGAACAACAATCTGAAATCCAATCAGATATTTCAGATAGCATGGCTAAGCAAGAGACAAAGGTATATTGTTCAAAAAATATGCAGAACTAATTTCATTATTCCTGATGTGGAACTAATTTCATATATTCCTGAATATCATATATATGATTGAATAAATTTATGTTAGTTATTATGTATTAGAATTATTTGAATCATGATTTCTAGTTTATTAGCACACTGGAAACAGGGAGAAAACTTCTATACTATGTCATCCTAATGTTGAAACCGGTAGGCGAGGAAAGCCGTTTAGGGGAGCAAACAGAGTTGAGGTGCTGATAAGAAGGAAGTATCCGCTATAATTAAATAAATGTATTATGCTATGGGAGAGACAATAATAATAATAAACAAGTACCAAAAAAGGCACATGACTGGGGTAAGATATTTCCATTTTTTTTTCATTCTATTCTTTTAACTTTAAAAGTACTGCATTGAATTATTAGTTTTGATGTTAAGTCCACTATTTGCAAAATAGATTTTCACTTTTACTTATAATATTATAATTATAGCCATAATATATATATAGTGTTTGTTTCAAAAGATTTCAATCAAATGGAACACTAGAGTGCATATAGCATGAACATATATTTTTGTCTTCCTTCTTCAATGGCTATGAATTTTTCCATATGTTTGTAGGAGAAAGTAAACTGTTGGGGGCAAGAGATTTCAATATAATGGAACACTAGAGTGAATACACCATGAACATATATACTCGTCTTCCTTCTTCATTGGCTATGAATTGTTCAATATATTTTTTCTTTTTATATTTATATTGTGTATGGATTATTTTAAGTATGACTTTCATGTTATTTGTGTTCATTTTGATCTAAAAAAATGTTATGTCACAAGATACACTCCTTGCTAGCTCTAAAAAAATAGTGGTTGATCACAAAATGATCTTAAATCAAATTAAAGATTCTATAAATAATACTCTAAATTTTATTGATCAATTAATTTTTTGATTGAAAAAGTTTAATATTTTTTATCGCGATAAAAAATCTATAAGATACTAGATACTCTCGTTAGACAAAAACTATATGATATGTATGCTGCATAAAAAAGGATAAGACTAGAATTCCCCAAAGATAAGGTCAAAGCTTAAAGAAATAAAAAAAAAATCACCATAGGTGATGTTCTTCATATATTAATAATAAATTATGCTATATATATATACACACACACCCAAATATTCTGTAAGTTAAATATTTGGCATACAGTCAATCTCTATCTAATCATCATTCGTTAAAACAACATTTCACTGTAACAACCTAATTTTCTTTAGAGTTAGTTTTTAATGTTATGGTTTTTGTCTCTATAACATTCTACCTATAACAGTGTTGAAATTTTTTATAGAGGTACAATTTTTATAAAATTACATCTTTATGATAGTCTTAATCAAATATTATGGTAATCGTTATTACTGTCATGCACATATCAAATTTTAGGTATTAATATTTATGAGAAAATTGTACTTAAATGGTGTCCATCATTTATAGTAATAACCTTAAGAGGAAAGACACTTTGTGACCTTTTTTATATTGATATTATTTTCTATTTTGCTGGTTAAGTTTGTTTACAAAATTTAGTAAAGTGAAAAAAATATTACTAAAGAAATGTAACTTTCTCCCCAAATTAAAATTTTGAATGTATTTTAAATTTTTTCAGTAAGATCTGGTAATTATAGTCTAAAAAAAATAACTCTATGTCATTAAAAGCACTTGACCACTATTCTTTTAATTTATAATTATTTACTAAAAATCTTTAATTTAGTAATATTAATCATATTTTACAATATTTTATTAGAATATGATACACACGTACAACAATATATATGTTTATATATATCTTCTATCCTTCCTTTAAAGCATAAACTTCTCAATTTAAATGTTAAATCATTATAATACCCCCAGGTTAAAACACTCATTTTACAATTTATTCCTATAACACCCCGAATTCAAGAAGGGGCAAGACAACATTTTTCACAAGCTACAAGTGCCAAAAAATGAGGGCCACCCACGGCCGTGGATGAGACCACAGACCGTAGGTGTTGTCCATGGATTGTACCCCCAATCAGATCCTGAAGACCATGAACCAAGACAGGACCAACGAACCGTCGTGTGGTCCATGGTACGTGGAAGTGGTTCGCGGTTCGATGACCCAGACATCACCTTCTAATCATGGATGACGACCGTGTAGGATGGACCGTCGGTCAGTCCACCGTCAGTCGTCAATGTCCGTGGGTCGTAAATAGCAGTGAAGTTTTAGGGGATGTTGGGTCTTTTCCTAATTATTTTTATCCCTATACATCATTTTATGCTTCACTTAGACCCCTCTATAAGTGATTCTAACCCCCAAATTAGTTCATTCACTTAATTATCTTCAAATTCACCAAAAAGAAGAACTCTTAAATATTTCTCTCTTTAGAAAACTTCAAGAAGAAGGATTCAACCTAGGGTTTGAAGTCAAGTCTGAATTCTTCCATTGAAGATATAAAATTGGCTTCAAGGTATGATAATTTTAATCCACGGATTCCATCCTTTTATGGAGTTCCCAAATTCTCCTATTTTCAAAGTTAGAAATCCCTAATTCAGTTAGGGTTTTCTTCAATTGTCATGTGTTCTCTTGATTATTGCTTTAAATGATTGAATTATGATCCCTTATGCGTGAATTGATGAAATACTATTATTTTTATAATGATTCGCCCATAAACCCATGTAATCACCATGTTTTAAAGTTATT